CCATTTCTGTTCCCTCTGTAGGAATGCACATGGTGGGACCAAGTCGCCCTGCAACATTGACTTCAATGGATTAAACAGATTGAGCTCCTGGAGCCTGGCACTGCTTGAGCACCCATGAAAGATGTGGATGGCTTTTGCCTCACGCACGAGACATGACACGAGTGCATACAAACAAAGCAGGAAAATCCACAAACCTTCTACTCGATCTCCCCGAGCTGTTCAGGGCTTGGCTTCTGCCCACAGCTGAGTACTGCTCACCTCATTGACTAGGCTGCGCTTATCCTCAGCGTGGCCTAGTCATGGGGAAAAGGACTCAGACCTACCACTTCCCGGTGGTGTAAGTGTCAACGTGATCACAGTGAGCAGCAAGTAGAGACTCACCGCACACCAGACATCATAGCCACAGCCCTGCTCCAAGACCTTACTACATGCATCAACAAGTCACGTTAAAGGTGAAAGAAAGGGCGCATCATCCCCGTTGCAGAAACACGAGGGTTCAAACACCACCCACCTGAATGCCAGTGCACAGCCAGCTTTCCTATACCACTAACCTGAACCATGCTCAAACTGGTGATTTCCAAGCCTCTGGATAATGCAAATCTTCCCTTTCCTACAAACCTTTTGAAATGGAACGGGGCTATTTCCCAAATCCTGATGAGCTAAGCAAGGCAATTAAGAGGCATTTTCTTTGTGAGCTAAAGCCCTTACACTTCAATTATTGCTCAAGTTACTTTTGCTTCAGGATCTAACAAAAGATGCCTAAGAAAACAAGGAATTAGACCTAAATTGTGATTCGCAGGGTCACCGGAGAAAAGCAGCACACGTGAACTGCACAGATAATTTCTCGTGCCTGCTCTTTAGTGTATGTGTGCTTCAGTCATCCATTAATGCTAATGTTTATGTCTAAATAGAACAATCAGTCAATGGCGGATCCTATTAGCATTAATTCAGAGCCTTTCTGTATATTTCTCTGAAGAACCCTTAGGAAACGGGTATGCGATAGATTGTTTTAATTGAATTGATTTTTTTTTTAAGTAAAAATTTGTGAGAGCTATGCTACTGAATCTCCCTGGGATATTATAGAAACCCCATCAATAGCTCACAGAGCAGTCATGTTTCTGCAGTGGTATAATGCTTCCACCCTTTATCGGGCATGGCCCCTTGCAGGTGCTATGGTCACATATATGCCTGTCTGCACCCTCATCGATTGCTCCAGAGCAGTGAGGGCCAACCTTTTTGCCAGGGGTGCCACAAATTAAGCTCCAGACCCTCCCCAAGAGCCACTCTGATCCCCTTTCCTGTCCAATCTGCTGCTCAGCTTTCTTCTCCCTGACCTGTGCTCCCGCATAGAAAATTGGGGTTGGAAGGGACCTCAGGAGGTCACATCTAGTCCAACCCCCTGCTCAAAGCAGGGCCAGCCCCACCTACATCATCCCAGCCAAAGCTTTGTCTATCTAGCCAGGTCTTCAAAACCTCCAAGGATGGAGACTGCACCACCTCTCTGGGTCATCTGTTCCAGTACTTTACTACCCTCCTAGTTCTTCCTAATCTTTCTAGCCTCAACTTCCCTATTTCTAACCTAAACTTCCCTCCCCAATCTGCTGCTCTGCTTTCAGCTCCCCCCACAATATACCCTTCTGCTGCCTGCCCCCTCCACCATCTGCTGCATGCCACACACCCAGACTGCCCTTGCCATGCGTGTCACAGGTTGGGCACCCCTGCTCTAGACAGTGACACACTGAAACCCAGCATGACCATGCCACCCTGGACAGGTGCAATGTAGCCACCTGTATTGTGCACAAGAGGGATGTGGCCATAAGCTTGCTCTCTCAAGAGGGCTTATTGGTGTGTCCAGCGCATATGACATCCTTCTGGGATGTACCGCACAAAGCAAGTGTGTCCTGATTCACTTAGGCATTCCCTAGTGCAACCTCTGGATGGTCAGAAAGGGTGAAGCTATTTAATCAACCATGCCCAGTGGCCCCTATTACTACAGCTGTATCAGAAGCAAGGGTTGCTAGAGAAAGATCAGTCGGAGATGCTGAAGTACCAGTGGGTTGTAGCACAAGGTGGAGAGCCCTACGGGCACACACCTGCGATAAAGCAGCAGGCAGCAACAGCATGGAGGAAGGTAGTCCTGCAGACACATCTACTAGACATGCAATGCATAACTCTTGACTATTCCCCAGGGCTGGAGTTTTAGTTCCAGTTCATCCCTAAATGTATGAAGAGAGAATTCCTCCTGCTCCTGCTCTCTCACAGTGTACTGGAGAGCACCCAGCGTTCAAGACATAAAGACTCAAATCCAGTGCCCCTTCAAGTGGGAAAGCAGCATTTACACAGATACAGACCCCACTCCATAGAGGGGCCCGGTGGTGGGCTCAGTGGGATGGGCACTGCCATGGAAGGGAGGGTCCTCTGGCTTCTGCCTTTGCTCTTGGCCCCCGGGGTAGTCCGTCTCTTGCACTGAGCAGAGAAAAAAGATAGGCAGCAGTGGGGGTAGACGCCAGAGCTGTTCCAGGGCAAAGCTCTCCTCAAAGAGTCATGCAACCAGGCTCCTTCTGGCTTGCTCTGTTTCTGGCCCCATATCTTCCCTTCTTGGTTGCTCAAAGGGCCAGCACCAACTGGAGGATGGAGGTTACGCCTGGCCCTGCTAAGCCCCTGGCCTTGGGGTCAAAGCACTCTGCTGAGAAGTAGGAAATATGGGTTCAAATCTCCTTTGACTAAAGGAGTGTAGAAACTGGGTCTCCCACTCTCTAGGCAGGTGCCCTAGCTGTCAGGTAATGAGGCTAAAAAGTGGACCGGTCCTTTCCCCTCCCATCACATTTTGGGGGGCAGGACATGCTTCCCTGAGTGAGGTAGGATCTAAAGGACTTATGTACCAAAAGGCAGAGCTCAATTTGGGCCTAACCCTTCAACAACAGCGAGAAGGAGCCTTCACAAAACACCTGCTTCTCTTCCCTCCCTGCTCAGCATTCATCAGGGCCCGTTCACGGGGGGCTCAGCACACATTTCAAGGGACTGTTTGCAAAGTCCATAGACAGGTTGAGCTAATTCATGTGGGTGCAGCGCTGATAGTCATGTCCCTCCCAAAGGTACTTAGCAGGGCTGGGCAGAAAAAGGCCAGTCCACTTTGGGGGTAGGGTGGGGGGGAAAGATTTTGAGAATTCGAATCCAATGAGATTTCAAAACCTGGTTTCAATCTGATTTAGGAGATTTGCAAATCCTCTGTGAAAGGGAATTGAGCACCCTGACTCAGAGACAATCTGCAAGGTAAGATAGGCTGGAAGCTCTGGGAGCAGAAAGAAGAGCCTGAGAAATCACACACTTAGGTCATATCTAGGCTGCCACGGCTGAGTGCCCAGTCATGGCATCAAAGAAATAAGCCCTGCTCACTCACCCCCATGCCTCGCGTGTCTATCCTGAACAGGAGGCGATTGACATGCTCAGAACATGGTTTTCCAGAATGCCCAAGAGCAGCGGTTAAGGTCCTGCTCCAGGTATTCTCCCTGCCTCATTTCTGGGGTTGACGTGTGGATATGTGGAGAGGGATCAGGCAGGCAGAGCTTATTTCCTCTGCTGCCTGAGTGTAGACATGCCTTTCAAGGCCAGGGTGCCCAGGATCCCAGCTCCTCAGCCTGCCTGTTGGATGGGTGAGGCAGCTGTCGTGAGTATCTGCTGGTTCTCTAACCGAACATTGGTGGAACAGAAACATTTCCACAGCAAAGTGGAGAGGGAATAGCACGGTCTGAATGCTCCTGCACTGGCTCTTGTCCCTATTCCAGGGTTTTTCATCATTTCAGATTATAACGCATTTTCTGCTCCAAATCTGGCAGCTCTCCACTAACAGTGGGCAATAGCTGAGGCTTCATATTCATGAGTGGGACACCTGACCTCTGAGGCCAGGCCTGGAGAACTCTGCCTTGTATACACATGCCCTGTTTGTCTGGCCCTGCATTACTTGCTTCCTTCTCCAGATGCTCCAGCGTATTATAGATCAAAATAAAGCCCTAGTCAGCTTTTTTTGGATACATGAGATTCATTTTGCTGGTACAGAGGGGTCTGGCTGTTGCAACAGCATCAATCAAGCACAGAACTTAAGGCCGGAATAGAGAAGCACATTATTTAATCATATTAATGTTACCCCCTGGCAGTTTTCTTTTTAAAATTTTTGATTGAATTGAACGCAGGTGAAAGTGGCCAGATGAATGGCTTTCAGAGACTGAAATTCTCCCTCTGTTCCAAGGATGGGTGTGTAAAGCTGTTTCTCTTTGCTGCCTCGACAATGTGGTTTAACCCTGCCTGAGGAAGAGGACTTCAGTGGATCGCAAAGGAGGTGATGCTTCCTGGCCTCATCAGACATTGATAAGGCAGCTTCTATTTGTTGCCAGTGAAACGTAAGTCAAGCTGTACCATAATACAAGGTGGCCACGTCCTCTGGACTGAGATCACCATGTTCATGGTTACACCAGCCTGTAAGCAGCTGGAAGAGAAGAACAATGTTTGGCAGGTATCTGGGTTCAAGGCTGGCCATCAAGATGGCCTCCTGTGAATTTTTGGAGAGGGAAGAATCCAGACTTGGCTCATTTTTCCTCCTTTTCATTGTCTGCAAGCACTGCTAAAGCCATCCAGTGAGCTCATCTGCTTCCCTAGCAGGGTGGAAACAGCTCTACTACTGCCTATCCAGGGGCAAGACAATGGAGGGTGCTTAACAGTGAGGCCAGGCGCCATGCTCCAAAGTGAGCACAATGTTTCTGCCAGCCCCTGCTACCCCCCCGTGAGCCCTGCACCTCTGCTGTCCTCATCAATATGCTTTCCAGACAGCTCCCTGGCTGCCCTTATTAAGAGTTTCACAGCCTGGACACATGCAGCAAAGCATTAGCAACCCCAGGAAGCTATGGAGAGGATCGATGTTCATTACCAAAGCAAATAAGCTTCCATTTTTGAGCTCTCCCAACCCATGTCAGCGGCACGGTGAGACAGGAGCACGCTGACTATACCTGGCAGGCGTCTTTCCCTCCGTCCTCGTAGCCGGCGCACAGCATGTTGTCCGTCAGCTGCGAGATCCACTGGGTGCACTGCTTCTTGCTTATCAGCTGCATCTCCACTTTCTGGAGCATGGTGGTGGTTTTCATCTTGTCCCCTGCCAGAGAGAGCAGGGTCAGGTCACAGCAGGACATCAGGCAGCACATCATAGCAACACAGTCCACCTTTCCAAACACAGAGGGGTGTAAAGGCAGCCAGCCCAGGAGAAGCCCCTAAAGGATTTGCACCTCAGGGGAAAACAGCTTCATGGCTCCCCAGCAAAGTCCTTCTGGCCTAGGATGAACCTTTACCAAGGCTGAGCCAAATCTAGGCACTTTGGGGGGTGGAGGAGAAGTAGAAGTGGTGGCAAAATATGGAGCAGCCCCATGCCAGGCCCTTCCTGAGGTGCTGGGGCTATGACACCAATGCAGGCTCTCTGAGGGCCTCACTTTTGGTGGGAAGAGGGGAGACCTGGCCCCCGCAGCTCCTGAGTGGGGGAAATACATGTCCCTCCCTTGTCCATTGAGGTGCCAGAAGTCCTTGGAGTCGCTCAGCTGTTACCAGGCTTCCTCCAAGGCAGACCTTACAATCCTAAACCATAAAGGGAAAGGGGGTTTTAGGCCACCCCTGTGCCCTCCTGACTCTGGGCTGTCCCACAATAGCTCCCAGTAGAGCTTCAGCAGGGCGATGAGGGGGTCTCTCCAATGTGACATCGTCTTTCACTGGGGACAGCACTGCTGAGACCCCCCGTGCACCCTGAGTGCTGTGCGCCCTGGCAGGCCCCCAGCAATTGGGTCTTGCTAGGGGATGCTACATGGAGCACCGCAGGTCTCCCCCAGGCAGCTCAGCCTCTTTTAGTCCCCGTGTGTTGCTCTGGGAGCACTGATGCTGTTACTCTCCGAAACTCTCCCAGAGTACTGATACTCCCTCCTCATCCCAGAGCTTGGAGTAAGCAACCCCTTACTGTCTATAAGCATACCAGACCTCATTTACACCAGAAGAACTCCACTGTCTTGGGACATGTCCACAGCAAAGACATCCCATACTCAACCCTATTCACCGATACTCACACCTATTCCCATATTCACCCCTATACACCGCTTGGGGAAGGTCCTCAGCAAAAACATCCCATACTCACCCCTATTCACTGATACTCACACCTATTCCCATATTCACCCCTATACACCGCTTGGGGAAGGTCCTCAGCAAAAACATCCCATACTCACCCCTATTCACTGATACTCACACCTATTCCCATATTCACCCCTATACACCGCTTGGGGCGTGTCCTCAGCAAAGACATCCCATACTCACCCCTATTCACCGATACTCACACATATTCCCATATTCACCCCTATACACCGCTTGGGGAAGGTCCTCAGCAAAGACATCCCATACTCCCCACTATTCCCACATGCCAAAATCAGGCCTGAGGTGATGGGAGCAGCCCACACCTCCATCCCCAAGATCTCAGTCTCTGAACAGCTTCACTCCCGGGTTTGGTGCATGGGGGGTGGGAAATGCCGTGTGCTCAAGAGCATTTCTGCCTGGGAGTGCTGGGGAAATGGTGTGGGTACACCCCTCCAGAGATGGATATGCTGAGCACAGGGGGGGAAAATCCTGCCCCTGCCTTCCCTGGAGATTTAGCAAGTTGACCTAATACAGAGCTGCAGCCCATGAAACAGGCTGAGAGAGTATCGTCAGCTTGTGAGGAAGGCCCTGTGCATTCAGAACCACCCTTTCCTGGAGGAGCTGGTTCTCAGAAAAATACCCCACCCTGTGCCCAGCATTGACCCACTCCTGTGCAGCCACCATCTGCCTTTGCATCTTAGCCATGGCTTGGACAGGGACAGCAGAATAAAACAGGGGATAATGACTTTTTTAGCAATACCAGGGAGACTGAATGGAAAAGCAAGCCTGCCACCTCACAAAGGGGGAGCTCAGAGAATAGAAGATAGGACCAAGCCCCTACATATCAAGGACCAAGAAGAGTCCCGATGTAAGGAGATGCAAGGCAGCTTGTTATATCTCCTTGGTACCATCTACCATCACAGCCCCTTCTGGGTACACGTCAATTCCAGTTCATTTGGACCTTGTCCAGAGGAGAATGATGCCAGGAGGCACCTTAAGCCCCTGAAGAAGGGTGATAGCCTCCCAGGTCTTCATCAGCCTGCCCATTGCATGGAGGAGCTGGCTGGTGTGGGCTTCTGCTGGTTCTCTGCCCGAGCATTGCTGGGACTGAAACATCTCTATTGAATGCTGATAAAAACATCTCAGCCAAATGACCCTCTCCCCATGACATGGTACCTGCAACTGTGGTTCCCCATCCAGCCACCCAGCAGTTCTTCCATGTGCGGAGATCATGCATCAGAGGCAAGCAGACAGGGACTTTATGTTCGTTGAGCCGGATGGGGGAGTCGAGCAGGAGCAAGGCAATGTCGTTGTCTAGAGTCAGCTTGTCAAAGTCTTCATGAACAATCAGCTTGTCCAGCTTTTTCATCTCTCTCTTGTGGCTTTTCAAGCTGACCACCCCAACCGCCACGGTGAGATCTGGTGGACTTATTGATAAAAAAGAGAGCTGGAGGATGGTCTGGGGCAGACGTGTTACCCTACAGAGATGGGGACAGTTGTTCTGAACAGGACATGGAGGTCCCGGTTCCAGAGGGCACCGAAAGCCAGCTCAACATGAGGGTAGGTAGCACCATGAAAAGGTTCGTCCTCATGCTGAGCTGTGCCTCACTCTGAGAGCAGCCCAATCGAGGGCAATGAGGTGATTCATGGGGCATTTGTGTACAATGCTGGTGTTTTCACATGGGGCAATTTTCTCTGCAACATTTTAGGAGATGGCAGTTGTTTAATAACATTTCCCCCAGTGGGGTTTAAACACAGAAACCATGTGGATACGCAGATCTTTGCGTGGTTCTGTTGCAAACCCACCTTCAAAAAGGGACCTGGGCTGACACTGTTTTACAGAGGAGACATTTCCAGGGGACAGAGGTCTATGTCTGGCTTGGTCCCTTGGATACATGTCTTGTGTACTTATAAGACCCTGATCACCACAATATGGGAGCCCCTTCCCATTCTCAACTGTATTCATACTCACAGGACCCTTGGTAGGAGCCTATCGATAGCATCTCCTGAAGTAAGTTGCTGCTTATGAAAGCTCTTGCCTCTCCGAACCAGTTAGTCTCCAAGGTGCCAACCTGCCCTACCTATCACATGCTGCTCTTATGAGGCAGGACAGGGCTGCCAGCTCCATTTTACAGAGTGGGAGCTGAGGCCAGGGGACACTAATGGCTCGATGCTGCTTTCTGTGACCCCAGTGGGGCAGAATGAGGTGCAAAGTAAAGTTCTCATAAGAGGTTGTTGCAGAACAAGGATGTGAATTGCAGTCTCTCCAGGACCCTGAGCCCAGAGCACCCTTTTTCTGTGCCTCCCTCCCTTTGTCTGTCTCATTCACTTGACCATGAGCCCTTCCGGGCAGGGGTTGTCGCTGACTTTCTGCCCAGAAGCAACTGCTAGGGGCCCCAGTCTGGGTTGCCAAACTTGCCACACTTCAAGCGTTCAAATGTCACTGATCGCTTATCTTGCTGGGATCATTTGACCCCAGCAGACTTCCTGCCCCTAGGGCAGGGGGCTGGACCCAATGATCTTGTAAGATCCCGTCCAGCCCTAATGTCTATGAAATCACAGCTGTTGAGCAATCACTTGCCCTGTTTTGCAATGAAAAGGAGAAGAGCAGGGCAGCTTTTGCTTCCTCAGCCAAGTGCAAAGATCCTTGAAAAGGACCTAACTCTGTTGCAAAGGTTGTGCCCAGCTCAACACATCAATGCCTCCTGTGGAAGCGGGATGGGCCATAGGATGGCAACCTAGGTCATAGTAAAGGTAGGTGGTTGGGAGTCAGGGTACTAACAAATGTTGTCTTTGTCCCTGGAGAAAGCCTTTACTCCTGGCATCATACAGACGTACACATCCATTATCTCACTTCAGGTCCCTCTAAAGAATGTGGCAGCAAATGTAGCAGCACTTTTGCCTGGGACGCACTGTTGTACGTCTGTACAGCGTCTATGCTTCATTCTGGGCACAAACTGGGCTGGCTGTGTGCCTTTGCTGGCCACCTATTGGCAAAGGAGCTTGGGAGGGCGATGTGCACACACTGGCTGTGCCATCCCTGGCTTGATCTGGGTCAAATCACAAGACAGTCAATCCCAGGTCAAATGAGACGTCTGTCTACAGTCTCAGTAGTTTTTGGGCCCAAACCTGCCACTGATGTCCTATGTAGCATGACAGTCCCTACTCTACCCATCCCCTCCCATTCGCTGTGGAGAGGCCATGGTGCCAGCCACCACCATCTACTCCTTTGATTTCCAGACAAGCATCTTATGCTTGGAAGGAGTTTTACCTTAACCATCCACTTGACTATTTTGCTTCCAATCCTCTTTTAAACCTCTCCTTCCTGTGATACCTACAGAAGCCTGGATACTGGTCAGGGGCTGAGCTCCCCATTTGTCATGCTGATCAATTAAGTCTCCTTGGGCTTCTCCACCCACCTGTTGTCTCGTGTTTTAAATCTAGATTGGAAGGTCTTTTGGAGCTGGGGTCATGTCTTTGTCATCTGTTTGTACAGCCCATAACACAGTGGAGGCCTAGTCTGTGGCTGGTGTTTTTAGGCACCACGGTATTAGTTATTATCATTGCTATATACACAACTTACAAAATGGTTTCAGATCCATGGGTAGAAGGGGCTTACAAGGACAAGGCTTATTGTGAATGGTTATTACACAAGCAGAAGTACTGATAGGACTTCATGTGGGTGGGGCTGAAGTATGACAGGAGTTGGATCCCATGTAGGACATACCTGACCCCTGAAATGCCACTGGATGGGTACGCGCACTGCAACCCCACTCAGTTTTGACAGAATGCAATTCGTACCACCTTATTACCATATTTATTTGCACACCTCATGTACCTTTCCCCCAAAAAATAGCTTTCCAAAACTGGGGTGTGTATCTTAAGTGGGAAAACTGATTTGCTGCCCAGAATAGCAGCAGTGGCATTTCTATTTAGGAAGTGCTGAAGGAATCAATTGAAGTTATGGTTCATTATGCCTTGCTTCATTTCTGCTAATTGCTTTTCACTCAATGACCCACTCTCCTTTTTAATGGTTTTGATGTTCCACTAATCAAGCTGCCCTTTCTTCAGGAGGCTTGCTGAAGAATCTGCAATTTAGCTAATCCCAATCTCTCTCCTCCTATTTCACAGCCCTGAAGACTATATTTGGCTTTTGTCAAAATCCAATAGAGTCCAGTCTTCAGCAGCAGCTAGAGTTTCAGCTTGTGGCTGACGAGTCAAGAGCAGCTGACAGTTTAGTTGTGGTAAGGTTAAACCTGCAGTTTTGCTCAGGAGCAAATGCAAGATTTGGCAAAGGGGGTGTGGGACCAGCCACCCATGCTGCAGAGGTGGCTGCAGCCCTGCTCGCAGCCTCCACCCTGCCACCTGTGGGGGAAGACTGTTCCACAGGAGCACCTGGAAACTTTTTAAAAGTCCCCAAAGCAGGTAAGAACCCCATTCCTACCCCCTCCATGTTGAAAGGCATGTCCCCTCTTCTCCCCTCCCCTTCCCCTCTTCCCCTGCCTGCGGCTGCTGCTTTCCTCTCTGTCCCAGGGCCAGGCAAAGTTTTAAAGCTGCTCCTTCCAGCTCCAGATGAGCTGCATGGGGACTGGGCTCAGCTGAGAACAGCAACAGCAGCTGCAGTGTGTGTGTGTGTGTGTGTTGGAGGGGGGGTTTTCCCCAACCCTTCCCAGTCGCCTGGAAGCAGACCCAGGGAGGGGGGACCCCCATGACTATCACCACTGCCACTATCACTGTCCCAGCTGAGCCCAGCCCTCATACAGCCTAGCTGGAAGGAGCCACTTTGAAGCTTCTCCCCACCCCTGGAACAACTGGGAAAGCAGCAGCAGGCAGAAGAGGAAGGGAATGGGAGGGAAGGAGATGTGCCTTTGAGCCTGGAAGGGAAGGGGGAAGGGATTTTTACCTGCTTTGGGAGCTTTAAAAGTCCCCAGGGGCTCCCACAGTGCAGTCTGAAAGGTGGATGTTGCCCTGCCACTGCACCCCCTCTGGATCCATCCCTGCTTTTGCCTGAGCAAGAAAGGGAGAGTAAGTGAGCTGAAGATGAGGCTGTGCTCTTGCTGTATGTGGCCATAACTCTGAAAAAAATTCTTCTTCATTCAGCCTCCCCCAAGACAAGATGTGTTTTTTTATGAAGGGGCACATGGTAGGTGAGAAAGTACAGTATGCTCTAGCTTGCTACTGTGCAGGACAAAGAAAAACCTGGCTTCATAACTGCTGTCCTCTAGGGAGAGCTGGAGTACAAGGATGCCAGACACACGGCAGCACGCGCTGTAGGCAGCTCAGCCCACGGAGGTGAGCCAGAGCAGGCTGGCTGCAGAGCGAGACCCGATTCCTTCCCACTCCCTGCATGAAGCTGAGAGATGACAAGGATCCACGTGCCATAAAACCATCTCTCTCCCCGTCTGCCTCTAAAGCACATGGCCAACTTGTGTTATCTGGACATGGAGCCCATGGGCTCAGCTGGCGGTGGGTTTCTCCCAGTACTCACGTTTCATTCTCGAAGCAGTGTGCTGCTGATAAGATCCACCAGCTGCTTATGATCATCCCTCCGCAGAAATGCCTCCCGTGGCTCTGGATGCTCACTTGCCAGGGAAACTCGCCAGCCTGGGCCTCTCGGCCCCCTATGACTCTCATCGTGGCCGCAACGGGTGGCTTGAAGGCAGGTCTGAGGCCGCAGTCTACAAACAAAACACAAGGCGCTCTGTGCACGGAGCTGCACAGTTCACTGGACAGACCTGAGCACACAGGAGACCCTGCCTATATTGGTCACACCAATATTGTGTACCTTGGGGGGCTTGAGCAAAGTTACTGCTGATTGACACCTCTAGCAGGCCCACGCCTTATTCTTGCCGGTGACTCGCTGAGCTGACAGTGTGTCCACGCTGCACGCAGACATAAAATAAACATACCCCTGCTAGCTCAGGTACAGGGTGCAAGCTAGCCCCGGGGGGGCCAGAGCTGAGCATGGGTGTCTTCCCCTGGCTGCTTGGTTTGACTGGCTGTGCTGAGCTTTGAGCTGCCACAGCTAGGTTGCTACTGGTAGCCAAGCTGGCTAATTTAAACATGTGTGGGTATGTCTACACTACATTGCAACTGGGAATGCAGCGTAAATAGGGGACTATAAAGAGAGGAACATGATGCCTGCAACATTAGGCTGACTGGCTCAGAGACTTGGAGTTTCAGGCATGCATATGGGACGAGAAGCTCAACACCAATGTTCATCACTACATACATGTGAAGGCAAGAGGGGACTGTTGCAATAGTCTAGTCTGACCTCTTGCGCTGCACAGGCCATAGAGGTCCACCAGCTAATTTTCTGTTTCCAGCCCAGGATTTATGGTTGAGCTATGGCCTCTCGGAGAGTCAACTGGTTCAAGCACTACCACAGGAGGGTGGTAAAGCACTGGAACGGCCTATGCAGAGAAGCTTTGGAAACTATTCTTGGAGGTTTTGAAGACGCAGCTAGACAAAGCCCAGGCTGGGATGATGTAGTTGGGGACAGCTCTGCTTTGAGCAAGGGGTTGGACTAGATGTGACCTCCTGAGGTCCCTTCCCACCCTCATTTTCTCTGATTCTGTGATTTCAAAGCATGGAGAATCCACCAGCTCCCTTCAGTAAACTCTTTGCACCTGAGTTTGAGATTACTTTGTATAACTTCCACTTCTATTCGCTAGATCCTATTGTGCCTGTCTGCCACCCTAAATAGCCCTC